AATATACAGCTTATTAAATGGAAAAGGCTGAAATAACAAACGTAACACAACAGAAACGGCTCTGTATACCCGCAAGCTGCTGTAACAACAGGAAAGACAGTTCTTCAAACATAGAAAAATTCACATCAAACCGAGCTCCCATTTGGGGTTTTAGCAAAAAGAGGGTGCTCAAATGGAATCAATAAAACAAACCCCAAAATCTAGAGGGGAGTGAACCATGTGGAGGCAGTCATTCGTATCTTGAGGCCAAACACCAGGGTCCTCTATTAAAAACAGCCCATAAACCCCCAGCAGGGCTGCAAACCTGGGATCCTCTGATGCACCATATGAAAATTGATCAATCGTACATTCCAAAAGGCAGCGCACTTCAAAGGCATATCAAGCGAAGATTTGCATTTTCCCATGATGCACGGGAACCCTGTTAAACGAGTGGGCTGTGGAGTAGAAAGGCACATTTCGTGCATTACGTTTCAGCATGTTCAACAAACATTAACGTCCCCCTATTAGTAAGGCTATTACAATTACTAAGGCTAGCATTACTGACATAAGACAAGGAAGTAAAAAAAATTATGGAAGCTTGTTCAGTCTGAACAAAAGACAATCACTGACTCAAGGACAATGAGAAAGGAAAAACCATCAACCAGAAAATGCAGGTCAAAATGAACTTGGTGAATCATTCTCTGAGGTTCAGGAAGCCATATAATCTTCAGATTAATATCCTTTAAAAATCTTCGAACATGTCAGCCATTACACAGGCACTGAGCATTACACAATTTAAGCTTGTTCTCCTTCATCCTCCTTCCCAGCAACAGAAAAACCATGTTAATTCTACTGTCCCTAAACTATAGTACCACGGAAGGGGAGTATATCCAAATAGATCCATCGCTTTAACTACACTGACATATAAATGGTATTATATAAAGTAATGTTTTAGAGATGCAGCAAAGTATTATGCATAACAGCATATTCCTTTTCAGTGGGATGTTCAGTGTTAAATGTGAAGACCAGCAGATGGGCAGGTTATGTCCCTATAAAACACTCCTGGGTTCATGTTTCTCAAACCATCTCTTTGAGCTCTCAGCATCCTCTACCAGATGCCCAAAAACTCAGTCCTTTGGATGATGATTCATATAATTTCTGCCATGTTTTAAAGTGTTGCACTGTAAATATCAAGAGGGGTTCAAAACATATTTGAATCAGTTGATCTTTAGAAGCGAATCAAATGAGGTAAAATGTAAGAAGTTCTAAGAATCTAAACCGTTCAAATGAGAAAGCCATTACCCAAAGGAAAACATGCCTCTGCTTAAAAACAAAAATGAGCATTAAATACAACATTTTGCATTTAAGTAAATACAAAAAATAACACCATTTACATAAAAGGCAGACAGAAACCTTAACCATTTATTGGAAGTTAAAACAAAACTTCAACCCCTGTAGTTCTATTAACATTATGATGATTTACAGTTCATAAACAATGTGTGCAACCCTTGTCAGATTGCAGAAAATGGTTGCCATTAAGGCGAATTACAGATAAGTCCTGTGGAGGAAAAAAAAGCACTTCCTATAGAAATGCTCTGCAACCACATTTCAGTAAAAGGCTTTCAATAACAGCAAAGCATTAAAGTTAAGGAACAGAATGTTGTCACTTTGAAATCCAAGAATAACAGCCATCTGGTGAGTTGGATTCATGCGTGAAATTTTTGGAACGAGTGTTCAATGTTGTACATGTTTGCTTCACAAGCTGGTGCAAAAACTCCAAAAGGTACACCCACCCCTTTCCCAAAACAGAGCCACACTTACACTTCATTTAGCTTGCTCAAACCTCTACTCTCCTTCAGTTCAACAGACAAACAATATTACGAACTAAATCACTCATTTATTCACGGTTCTATCCTCTCCACAACTACTGCCGTTATTCTTTTTTCTGGACATTTCTACAAAGCCTTACAGTATCAAACAGTGGCAAGTAATGCAGTATGACGAACAGCTGGGTGAAAACCAGAACAGTTCTGAATCTGTTGGGAAGCACACATATGGCACAAACTGAGATAGCTTTCTTTCCACCCCACATGTAAAAGGCTATGTACACTACATTCAAGACTCAAATTACATATTTTCATAAAATCCACATGAAATTCCAGGCATGAGGTTTTGCGCACATGCCCCTCAAGACTCTCACCATGTGATTTGGTTTAAATCCAACAAACCAGAAGCCACCCTCCCTTGTTATCTGGCGCTGAGACTGGGGTTCAAAAGCAGTCTTCCTTTACAACTTCAACATGTCTGTGTACAAAGTGCTTGAAAATATAATTTTAAAAGCTCACTTCCCAACATTGTTCCCCGTACTGAACGGTGATCAAATTCAAGTTACAGTGCACTTCCATGCTGCTCTTAACTCTTCCAAAAACTACATCTATCCCGTTAAGTATCTAATGTATCCAGTCACAAAAACAACATATTCCATAGAATCTGGTGAACCGGCAAAACAAGACAGAAATCTGTTTTCTCATTCAAAGACAGGAAATTTGGCTATTGATCAGTTATTATTGGAAAGAATGGAATGTTCAGGCAGTTCCCAGGAAACTGAGTCATTCCATAAACATATGATGTATCCGCCACTCATTACAACTCCGCATGAAGACCATATATGAAAAAAGTCATTAAATACAAACACTTCAATGAGAAGTCAGTTTGCTGACCACTTGCAAGGAGCACATTTTAAAATAAATGCATTTATGTAATGTTGTCAAAATAACATTTCTTACAGAATTACAAGGACACTGTGTGGTAGGTTAGTGCCACAAAAAAAATGTTTTGGCAAACATATTGGCAGAACAAAATAATAAAAGCACATATTTGGACTCATGAGCAAAGAGCGGCACATGCCCTTTGAAGGTCTTGTTTCTATTGACTCCTGTACCCAAGAAATTGCTAGATAAAGATAGACGTGTATGCGCGCGTGCACATACACACACACACAAAACAGAATGCATTTTTTTAATTATTTAAAGAACTAGATGACTCATCAAAGCTCTAGGCAATAATAATAAAACAATCATCTCTGAAAGGTAATCATCCAATAAGGGTAAGGTGCTATCAAATGCAGTGACAATTTATTACACTACACAAATCTTATCAGTATAAATCATCAAATAACATTGTGTAAAAATGGCATGGTAGTTGAAGGTTAGGGTGAGGGCGACTAGAAAAGCTCTCTCAGGTAGATTGGAAATATGCATAGTAAACTGCTGAGATCTACACACCCCTAAACAAAGTAAAATCTCCTTTCTTTAGAGATCTAAAGGCTCTCTATGACATCTGCAGAATGTTACATCTATCTGAAAAGGGAAAAGCCAAGAACTTCATTATTCACTAAATAAAAAGATTAACAATATACCAGTGATATAACACAGAATCACTTTTTAATATAGGTTACAACACTGGAAAAATCACTGATTTTTTTTCCACAAACAATCCAAGCACTGTTGTCATTCATGATAAACTTTGATGTAGATGGTGGTTTGTTCTACGTTTGTTACAAATAATTTGCATTGAGTTCAGCCCCAGGACACAAGACAGCTATGCTACACAGCATCATTAACTCTGTTTGGCAGTCATTTGTTTAATGAAGACTTACGTTTTAGAATTTTCAACAACTATTACAATAAACAACAACTACTGCGTTATTTTAGCAACATAAGCTGCAACATTCATTTCAATTACTGCACATGACAGAAACCACCATTTCCCAATAACTGACTGAGACAGTAAATAGAACCTCAAATCTATTAGTTGTAGAAAGCACATAATACACCAACAGTTCTTTCTCTGAACTCAATATCCTCACAATAAAGCTTTTTTGCAGTCTTCAAGACATCACAACACAATGTTCTTATCAGCATCCAATTAAACACAGTAAAAAAAAATGCCCCAACGCCTATACGCAGCACAAATTAGTGGATTTTTCCTGAGAAGGGTCATTAAGTGTGACATTTTCATTATATTTTCAACAAAAATAATTTGTGCAACATGTTAGTCACCTTATAATGACCACAACATACAGATCTATGTTTCTTAATAAAAACAACAACTAGGCCTACTAAAAAAAATATTATAACTAAATCACACGACCATACAGCATATGCTACTAATGAATCCAGCTATATGCATCTAAATAACAACATGACATTTACAGAACGAAATGTAGTATCTCAGCAAACATAATTTTCCTTTCATATGCAGTGTAGACTTTTAAAGAGCATTTCTAAACACAAGGGTCAGACACTGTGACTTAACTGAGTGACAGGGAAGGCAATAGTTCACTCGGGAAGAGCAATAATTGTAGTGTTTGCCCCAGCCTGAGAGGGGGAGTGATGGAAAACAAATGGTGCAATTTCAGTCATGAATCTATATTGTCGATTTTCATTGGATGCTAGTTAAAACATTAGGTCTTACGCCCAAAAGACACCTAGTGTTTTCCTCAAACAGCTGAATAATTCAACTTGCGCCAACACGCATCGCTTTCCACGTTTTTAGCATTTTTCTTTAGTGTTATTTGCGAGCGAGGAGAGAAGAATTGTACGGGTGATTTGAGCGCTGATACCGCACTGCTTTTAAAAACAACTGTCCCCGTAAATGTTTGCGAGTACCTCTGAACGCCAATGTGAATATGTTTGTGTTTATCTGTAACCGAATGCGAGTCCTGTTTTGTGAATCGTACAAGACGAATCATTACACGTATTTTATAGGAGTATTCGCGCACATAGGCCTATACCTCCCGCATAAACTTAAACATTAGTATTAAATCATTATTAACACTATTAAATATCATTCATACCTCCCCATGTTTCCGTAAAGACGTACCAAGCGATATAAAATGTGAAGATCTGAACAGCACTGCAGACCGTTTACAAAACGCTAAAAAGTTAAAAAGTGACTTGTGTTTTCATGGTTTTTACGCTTTTGCTGAAATGAGGAAAAATAAGCAAAACTGCACTTACTGTGGTGAGAATGTAGGTTCATGGCCGATGAGAGATATTTTCCAGTGTGTAGAGCCGCCGGGTGCCCCGCGCCCAGATGACCGGGAGACGGTGGCATTCTGCCGGCCGCAGCCGCCGCGCTGAGCCGGTGTGACTCCATGGGCAGCCCCGAGAGAAGGGGCGGCGGTACGTGAACAGATCTGGGGGGTCCGAAGTCTCGGCCATCCATCATCCACAATGGCCCAACTTGATCAAAGAAACAGTCCGATCGGGTAAATCCGAATAAGCCAGTCTTAATGGCTATAATGTCCCTAGATTCCTAGGCAAATCAGTGTCCTTATCCGGCATTCTGCCGACCTACAAAAACAAAACAGAAGAAATAGTCTCGATAGATGCGGATCACTACTGAAATGAATCCAAAATTATATGGAGATGAACACGAGTCATATAATGACGCAGTTTTAATCTCAACTAGATCGTTGGAGAAAGATAGTAGGCTAATCTTCTCAAGACATCAAAACGTTTAATATCACTCGAGAAAAGTCCGTTTTAGGATAAACAGACGGTAATGCCTCTATAGTAACCTGCTTGCAGGCAGTATATTGGGCGAAAATCCAGCCTTTTGGTGGAGACTTGACCGATCATTCGCGCAAAGTGACCTATAGGTTCATTCAAACGGATTACAAACATATTTATTATTGTTCGTAATATATCATTCTACGTAAACGGTCAAGAGCAGTCCGCTGGTGCGTTTAAAACACGCGACGTGCACGATATAGTAAAAACAAAATGAATGTATAAAACGGACGAACGAAACAACCACCACTGGCGAACGTATGATGTCGATTTTGGTGATCCAAACCTGTTAATGATTGTAAAACAATGTTATTTTCTTTTCCTTGCTTCTTGTAGCCTACCTTTTAACGGACTGTATTATTGACCTCTGCCGAAACGTTTGTCTGCAAACAAACCAGGTTTATCTACTCTAAATGGGCAACGGCATAACGCATATAAGACTGTTTTAATATCTAGATAAGTACATTCTTGCGGTAGTATCCCGTTAAACTAATACCTAGTTTTACATGCGTATAGAAGCAGTTTCAATCATGTAATACCTTGCTGAACAGTTTGTCACTGCAGCCTTATCGTTATATTAGGCGTTTTATTAACTTAAAATACAAGGTTAATGTTACAGAACTATGATTTGATGAGGTGGTTCCACTTCTTCCTTTCCAAATATACTTTCACGTATTACTTTAGCAATTATTTTTATTACAAAAATTTGCACAATGCCGTATCCAAACGCCTGACGTCTTTTCACATGGCAACTTTTACTAGTTTTAATGTTATTGCAAATGTCAAGATTAAGTAGCCTAACTGGTATCAAAACACGACTGAAAATAATGAGTCTAATCTAAAGTTTAGATGCGCGCATGTTATACAGCCATGCTTTATGATGGCAACACCAAGCCGATCGACAGCAACGTTTCAAACTTTCCCGTTTCCATTTCCAGCAACAAAACTTTTCCGCCCAAACGGTAATCTTTCGAAAACATTGCTCAGTGAGTTGCAGATAAAGAAGTTGCGTTACTAAACCTTGCAAGCCAAACTACCCCCCGCCTTTTCACCGCGTAAACAGAACATTCTTTTTTAAAAGCGTCTCCGATTTTTGCTTCATAAACATCATGTTACTGTGTAACGGATCATGTGCGGAATGATAGCTGGCGACGTCTTACTTGAAATGGCGACTCAGTTTATAAAATCCAGTTTCTTCGCAAAATCCGTGAGACGTGTGGTGGAAAATTTCTCAGACTCCATTTACACACCATTCGTAGTTACGCAGAGCGAAAGCACATACGGGGGGAAGGCCCTGCGCTCAAACTACTGTAGCTCTCGGTAAACTCTTCTGCAATGAAACAAGCATTGTTTAACAAGCTCCGCCTCCGCGAATCTCACCCGACGCGTTCTACAACGGAGCATATGATTGGTCTACAGAAGTGCCCATCAACTCCATGTAAACACTTTGGCTCCTCGCCAGCTCTATAAAACCAATTATGGAACAAGGAGGTTGAACTGTTTCAAGCTCCCCTTCCTTCAAGACTTGAATGATCAAAACAAGCGAAGAATATTTGGAGGGCAGAATATTTCAAGGCCGCTCAAACTCGACTCATTAAAAAGACGGATGCGGACCTGGTTATAACTCAATGATCACACACTACATCAGTCCACTCTAAAGCATTCATGGTATGAGTTGTAGGCCTGCTTTGTAGATCAGACCAAGGGATTTTGAAGTTGAGTCCGGGGACAGCAAGGGGCCGATCGGCATTCCGCGAAATAGTATTTGGGGGCCACCTAAATTACGATTTATTGGGGCGGTTTAACTGATAGGGATTAGATTAAGCCAGGACTAGGCCTTTGTTAAATTGGGACATTTAAGTAGTTTTTACAAACATGCCTTACAAAAAAGCAATACTTGTGTGCATTTTAAGACCTAACAATGGCACTGATGTGTTTTAAGATATGTCAGTGCAAGCTTTTTTCAGTTTAGACAGCTCTAACATTTATTTTAATCTAGGACTAGTCTTAAACCCTGTTCGGGAAACCGCCCCAATATGTTTAATGCTTGATCTTTTATTATATAATATTATTACACTTTCATTCTGTTTTCGTAAATTTTGAGATAAGCAAAAATATTTTATTTTACTGACAGTCATAGCTTTTAATGGAATAAACTAGGCCTACATTTAGACTATTTAGTGACACACACATTCAAGAATAGATTGTTAATGTATTAGGCCTATCTTTCTAGAGTTTCTCCTTGCTACTGTTGTCTTCAGATGGCACACCCAGGGTGCAAGACAATATTTTTAACCACTAAGTATATTGAAAAAATTACCTGTCAAACTATATATTTTGCAGGTAATATTTTATGACTTTGATTTGGCTTTTGTTCAGTGACAATATAAAAGTAATTTATTATATTTAGGAAACAGAATGTTGTCTTATAATAGCATTACTATATTTTTACACACAGTATAAAATGGTTTTTATCGAAATATAATCCCATTTGGCGGTTCTTGTCTTAAATTTAAAAACCCCTGTCTTGCATTAAAGGGGTCATATGATGCGATTTCAAGTTTTCCTTTCTCTTTGAAGTGTTACAAGCTCTTGGTGCATAAAGAAGATCTGTAAAGTTGCAAAGACTAAAGTCTCAAATCCAAAGAGATATTATTTATAAAAGTTAAGAGTCAACCACGCCTACCTAAAATGGCTCGTTCTAACACGCCCCCACATACCTACGTCACGATGAGCAGACTGCGCTTGTCAATAGAGGACCTACAATAATGTACAGTATTTGAAAAATAATGTGTTTTTTGAACATTAAAGCATGTCAACATATTCTGTTACACCAAATACACAAAATAATAATCTTTAAAATAGCATCATATGACCCCTTTAATGTGAAGTTGAACACATATGAGATTCTCTAATCCACTTGACTGAAGGCTTGTTATTTCTTAATGTAGCCTATTTCATCATTTTATCAACCAGGTGTAAAGTAGCGCGTGTGTTTATTTGTTAAAAATTGGGTAATTTCCCTTGTCAGTGATCTGTTTCCTTTTAAAATTGTAATAACCACAAGGGAATTCAGAGAAGCTGTAAAATTGACTACTGGAGTTTCAACAGACAAAATCACAGCCTGTGAAACAAGCTCAAGCAAGAAATATCAAAGTATATTTTTCCAGTTTTCTGAATCACCCGTTCACTTTCATTGCCAGTCACTGAAGCATGACATCACGATTTCATCTAGGCGATCAATCGATCAGTTCACGAGACCTTGCCACATTGGGAAAAAAAGATGATTAGAAAAAAAAAAACCTGGCGCGGTTTCTAACCGCCCCTGTCGTGCGCCTCTCCAGTGAGGCGGTTTCAAGGCGTCCTCAAGAAGGCAGTGGAAGCGGGTCACACATGAGGAAAAGACCTACGTGAATTGTCAGGTTTGAAAGAGCATACCTCAACTGCAACTCCTAATGAAATGACAACACTTTCGGGAAAAACACCGTGCTTCGGGACTGGCCGGTTTCTCCAAGGACTCGCGGGAACAATAGCGCTGATTTGCTGTGGAAAGCTCTCGTCTCGAGACGTTGTATCAGTGCAGCTCTACAGCTTCATGGCTCTCTCTGAACGCGTGTGTTATTAATGGCCAGCGGAGCATTTAACTGCACTCTGATAAAATACCGATTGTCCTTCGGATGTTGGTTAACGTACAGCCGTGCACCTTACCCAAATCACAAAACCCAGCATGGATTGTTGATTTGGGATCCTTGCTTGCGTCCATTGTTCACGATGTCCCATCGTCTCGATGGTTAAGGTGGGTGTTTCATGCGTGTCGTGAAAATACACATTTTACATGTACCAAGCCTATGTTTTTAAAGGTTCTGTATTTTACGATTATTGTTTAAATGTTCTGCGCCACAGTCCATAAGTAAGCTGGATTTAATATTTAGTGAATATTGGATATGTTTATTAAGGAAATGAATATAATTGTAAACTATAGAATTGTTACATATTGAGAAGCCCAAACGTTGATTTGGGGGAAATAAATCTTATTTTTTATTTTTTGATTCGATTATTGTACAATATAATATATGTCTCAAAGGAAAATATGACTTGATTTGAAGGGCTCTTATGAGGCTTTTATTGTATTTTACCTGTAGTTATATTATGCAGATATTTTATAGGCCTATTTATTTAAATATTATCTTATATGACTAATAAATGCTTTAATTGCCTAAAAGCAGTGAGCAATGTATACAAACATAAAGGTATTAAAATAAATGAAAAACAAAAAATAAATGTCTGGTGTATTGGATGTACCACAAACATGCTTTTATTTTTTCAAATCTTGCTACAACTTGCAGTCTTGCACATTGATCCAAACAAATTACAACATGAATGCCGGAAAATCACGTTTTGCACAGATGGGTGCAACATGTGAATCTATATATAAAGTAAAGATATTTTGAGATTAGTGCCAGTTGCATTGTCCATAATCTAATAAATCAAGAATCAGTGTATTAAAATAAATAAAAGGTTAAACAAAAAGTTTACACAATTCTCACGTAAAACGTGAACTGTAATGTACGGCTTGACATAAAGAATTTTGAGCCAGGCAAAACCATGTTTATTCAGACCAGAAGGGAACTAAATAATTTAATAAACAAAGTACAGAAGTAAAACCCACACACATTTTGCATGGTGTGCTTAACAGGCCTTTTTCCTGAAATGTGCAAATAAAAGCAACCTAATGCCCTCCAAGAATTTGCAAGTCACACTGGATTGTACGTCCCCTGTATAAGTGAAATGGAAGGTAGATGTTTATAATTATAATGCAAATGCCCACAAAATTCACAACGGACTTAAAGCATTGAAATTCAATCACCATTGACAGTAATTGCCAAACCACAGTTTCATTAGCTTGTGTCTTTTTACTGTTTCACAATACTCTTTATATGCATATATATATATATATAAGCAAACATTATTGTACACTATATTGACATCTGACCAAGTATCTTTGCTTTTTTGAAATTTATTTGAAATATTGTCTGTTCACAATTCAACAAAAATGAACGGTATTCTTGTCTACGAAATATGTAAACTGTTACTGCACAGAAGAAAGTATAAATATCTTGTGATGTGATGATCATTAAAAAATGGTTGATGTCCAAGTGTTTGTAAGTCTGTCAATTTGGCAGGAATATATGAGAAAAATATATGGCATATTATCAAGATTCTAAAAGTCTGTATGTAAGGTAAACATACAAACTCTTAGAATTTTGCCTGGGTAAACGTTTTTAAAAAAATTAATTTATGTTTATTTGCAGGGGGCTTGAACATGCTGGGAAAATACCCTACAATCATGAGGGAATCAGTTTCCTAAAACAATAGACTTTGACTCTTTTGAGGGCATATGAACTTCTGACATTTCTAAACAGCATAATTTCAACATCACATTTATGTTCTTGGCAGACACATTTTTACCAAAAGTAGTTCCAAAAGTAACAAAAGGCCTAACTTATTGCAACCAAAGATGTAATTCTATAATGTTACCTCTCTACCAGTTGAGCAAAAGGTCAATTCTATAAAATAAAGATATGATCTGCCTCCCAAAGCCTCTGTTGCTTTTGAATCAGATGACTCATGGCAGCCTGTGTGTGTGTGTGTGTGTGTGTGTGAGAGAGAATGAGACAAAAGATAAAAACATAGATTGTTGTGGCTGCCATTTCCTAACCATTTCAAATGTATCTGATCCAGTGCATGTTTTTAAAACCATGAACGTGTGGTTTGAGAAAATGAGGGGACTAATTTGAGTTTTTTTTTTAGAATGTAAGTGTTTATATTACTCTGTGCGTGTCTTCATTTGAGTAGGTTATTGTGTATAAAATGTAAGTAAAAACAACTTGTGGTTATACTTGCTTTAGCAAGCGCTTTTTGGTGATCGATCGGCTAGGCTAGTGAAAGTTGTGTGTAAAAAAAAAAAAAAGACCAACTCGTGATAATTTCACCTTGTCTGTTTACTGTGTGTGCAGTGTTATGCTGCATATGAAATTCTACATTTCCAATTTTTTTAATATGTCACTAACTTATTAATGACGATTGTTGGATAAAATGTTTGTTTTTAAAGGATGAAAAAGATCGTGATTCGGTTAAAAATGTGTCATGAGAAAGAGCGCCATCTAAAGGTATCAGCCGTAAGTCCGTGGGCTGAAAAGGCAGGGGGAGGGCTGACCTTAGCAAGCTTTGCAATTCAACATACTTGTATCTAACCCTGATATTTTAACAGCTGGCTAAGCTCGTTTTATAACTTGTTACCCTATAATTTTCATATAATACTGACCCCTACA